CATTAGCCGCCGTCTAATAGCATTTGGTATTTACCGACCTGCCTGCCGTGCAACCTCACAAATTGAGTCAAATTTAGCAGGTTTTATGTAAGCAGCTTGCAGATGCAGACATGTGACCCTTTGAACTAACCTTTCCAGAGGCAGATAAATTGACCAAAAGGCATTTAATCAGTCTAACCCTGTGTGTATGCTAACAGTTAAACGCCGCTAACAGCATTGCTCTTTGACTTTGCAACCCCAGCGAGGCTTGTCGGATCATTTGAGGCTGCGCAAAAGTTGTTGTTGTTGTTGTTGCTATAGACAGGATATAGGATTGTGGCATTAATCGCAATCGGATCCAAATAAAAATTGTTGTGGTCTCAAATTGATTAGATTGCAATTATTTAGGCTCTCCTCAGTAATTTACAAGGCTAGTGAATAAAAGTTGAATAAAAAAACCCTGAATTTTGGTCTAAAAGGGTCTAAATGTCCCAGGGCTGGTGAAGTTAAGAAAAATCATCAACATTCAGCACAATATTTTCTTATTTTGGGTATTTTTTTAATCACTGCACCGGGTCAATTTCACCCGAGGATAGCACAAGGGTTCAGTTCCTTTGCAAGAGAAAAAAGAAGAAGCAAAAGATAAAACATGAATTTGGGAACATCTTCATCTTGATTTGAGTTTAGTTTGAAGTACCATCCCGGTCGGACCAGGGCCTTTCTGAGTGGAGTTTGCATGTTTTCCCCGTGTTTCCTCCAGGTACTCCGGTTTCCCCTACCACTAAAAACATGTCCAATAGATCTGGCATGCGCCTCCTGTACTGGCGACCCCGCTTCCATCTCTGTGTGGAGTGAGAGACAAATGCCCAAAAATAACAATTGTAAACCGCTTTGTGACTCTGGTCTGTGAAATACTGTATATAAATAAAGATTACTTACTTACTTATATTCAATAAAAGTAATTGCTTGATTCCTGGTTTTCCTGTTTCGGTTTCTGTTCTAAAAGTACAAATGTTTACTTTCTCTTATTATTAAAGAATGAGGGAGTTGTACAATCTAGTAGCAGTTCTTTAATATTAACAGTTTGATACATCATTTACATTTATCAATCCAGGTGTTAAACTGCTTGTACAATTTTAGTGGTTTGATTCTACATTATATAATAATAATAATGCATCGGTTTATATAGCGTTTTTTGGACACTACACGTCATTATTTATTCAATCCATACACAGTGGTGATAAAATACTGCTGTAGCCACAGCTGCCCTGGGGCACACTGACAGAAGCGAGGCAACCAGTATGTGCCATCGGCCCCCCAACCACCACTACTATTCACACACACACACACACAGACTCATTCGAGGGGCAATGGGGGTGAAGTGTCTTGCCTAAAGGCCACAACGGCAGCGGATATCAGTGGAAGTCGGTGGAGAAAGTCTTGTGGTGGGCTTGAACCCACGACCTTCTGGCTCAAAGGCCAATGCTCTACCAACTGAGTTACTGTCACCCCCATTTGCATCATTTTGCTCTTTCCTTTGTGTGTGAGCAAACGACCCAGACTCCTCAAGACCCTAGCTAAACTGACTTTGAGACCCCAGATTTAAACTTTGTCTGTTTCTCTGCAGTGTGTTCAAACCGTAGAACCGCACTGCTCCTCGCTGGTCAGTTTTCTCAGACCATGGTCACAACACTCACACTCAAAACTTATGTAGTTTGTCCACTACACTCTCAAAAATATGCTTGAGGGAAGGGACTACTATTTTACCCAAGAGCCAGCAAAATCTCCTTGGCAACCGATGCCATGACCAAAAGTTATACACACTTTCTGAAATGTGTGAGAATTATGTATGAACCAGATACTAAGCCCTAATGTGAAAATGGAAATGGAAGACCAGCTGGGCTTCAACGTTAAGTCATCAATCATAAAAATCACACAAAACCCGCTTTTCTTTGTGTTCTGAAGTGCAGGACCCCTTTGCTTGTGCCGAAACACAGGTATGATGTAATCTTGAGTCCAGAGCAGCCAGTCTGCAATTATCTGTTTAAAATGACTATAAAAAGCCAGATGTGTTTCTCTGAGTGTACAAATGCTGCAGCTGAGAGCGCTCCAGTTGTGCTAGTCCATGAACTCTCAGCGCACTTGGCAAATGACACATGCAGAGGATGTGGTGAGAGAAAGTTTGCTCAAGTCCAGTCCCTCCGTGATGAACGCTGGAGATCAGGAACGATGACCACATCAGTCCTTCAGAGCTGATGTGGCCTTCAGAGGTCGGAGGTCGGTCCCTCAGCCTTTGAAAGAGCAGTACACAGTGATGGACAAGGCTAACCTTAGAGAGAACAGAAGCATACTCTCACTTCATGTTGTGGTAGACCTGTGCGATAAATCAACATCCAAAGATCAAAATCAAAAGTTTGGTAGATAGCGAACCAATGATGTGGCAGCAACAGTTGAAAAGGCGGTCAAGGCAGTAATTAAAAATGCATCTGTCATTCCAGTTATATTTTAATTTTACATTACATTCCCAAGATAATGGGTCAAGTAAAAATCCTATGTTTTGTAATCATATTTGTAGTTTTACTTCTTTGAGTTTGCTCCCACCATTTTTTTTTATATATACAAAAAATTCATACAGATAGCACCACACAAGAAGTCACACACACAGAGTTTGTACTGTTTCTAGCTACACTCCAGCAGGTGGATTGCATCAGTAATCGGTGGTTAGGCGGTGCATGTGTCACAGGCAGGAAGAGTCTGTGACACAAAGCTGGATTTGGGGATCCCTTTCAATTTGTATGTTTTTTTTAATTTTATTCATCATTTCAGTTAAATATGTCATATAGGAGACAACACAGTGATATTTGAGACATCAAATTAAGTTTATAATTTATAGAAAGTTTGCAAGAAATATTGAAACCTAAATATTGAGATGGATGCCCAAAATACCACTGTAGAACTGAACACAGAAGGAAGAAATATGTTCTTCTTTGTTGCTCAATGATGATGCAGTGTACAGCTTTTTCACATATCCTTAAGCGTCTTGTCTGAATAAATCTTGAGTTATAAAGTGCTTGTGCTGTCAGCGTGGTGAAGGCATGAGGCAGATGTGGCGTTCTCCCGGGAACAGAAACCGTACAGTGTGACTGGCTCTCGTCTGCAACACATTATGTCCATTGTTCAGTGCACTTCCTTGTTCCTTGTTTTCGGCTTTTGGAAATTTATAAAAATGTAGGTCTATAGTAGTAATTTTAAGAAATGTTTGTTAAAATGTTGTATTTGTTTTTAAGCATGCCTTTTTCTATCTTTGATAAATAATTCGGATTCTGATCTATATCAATTTCCTGGTGGGATTTCAGATCTCTGTCCACGGTTCCAAATATTGTGCCTTAGTATGAGATATGAAAACTATTAAAAAAGTCGATCATTATTGTATACACACCAGCAGGACCTGTCACACGTTTGTTGTTAGATCTGTTCTTTCAAACGGTACAATGAAAAAATGTCCCACCAAAGTTAAACACGAAACACACTAAAACCCCAGGTTGTATATAACCTATTTTCCAAAAGAACAACAGGCAAACATAATCCTCAATAAATACAGAATTCCATAGACAGATAATCATAACAGATTTCACCCTATTCTCAATATTAATTCTAATCAATGTATGTGTGTAAAGTCCTAAATTATAACGGCAATTGTCTCACAGGACTTTATATTTTTGATTTGCCAACAACAGCTGTTTTAACACAATAAATGCAATAATAACAATACAAAAAAATACAATAATAATAATTCCAAAATATAGTTTTCAAATGGATGTGTTGTGACAAAGGATTACTTTTATGTAGCAGGAGTTTGGAGATAAAAAAAAAAAAATCTAAATAAGTTCAGTTCTGTTTAGATCGAACGCAACCGGACCAAAGGTAAAGAAGGATTGTTATGATTTACTTTTGTATTTAACCATTGCTAATATCGTTTTGGGCTCAGAATTAAATAAAGGGCATGGTTGTATTCTTCTTAATATTACCTTTAAAATGAGTTATAACGTGCCAGGGTAGCCAACAATCTCATGCCTTCAATGCTTGAACAATAATGCAGAGTCTGAGCTTCATTTCTATCATTCCTGGGACAATCTGCATGAAACAAAAACTTTCACAACCTTCCACATCTCCAACTGCACATATCAACTCCGGTCTCATTAGTCAAGGTTTTCTCATAAAGGTGTCGAGAAGAGCAGACGATAATTCAAAAACACATGCATGATGTTTCAGACTTTCAGACATAAGAATAATATCTGAGTTTGTGAAGCTAATCACTATCAAATATCATAATCGGGGAACACAAAAACAAATGTCAGAATCAGAATCTTTTTTATTGCCATCTATATAACAAAGTCACAGACTAGGAAATTGCTTTGGCTCGGTGAAACAGTAAAAATCAGCAGACGCTAAGGTATAAAATGTAAAATATTGTGTGTAAAATAATGTTTTTCAATATTCCCATAGAGTTCAATTTCCTCCAGCTGAACTAAAATTCTCTACCATTAAACCCCTCATACACCTACACTGCAAAATAATGATACAAATATGAGGTAATAATGGCTTGAATCAAGTGTTTTTATCCTAATTTGAGAACATTCTGACTGAGTAAATTCTAAAACAAGATTTGCGTTTGGGACAAAGCCATTTAGTCTGATTTCAAGAACTGTTGCTTTATTTTCTCATTCCAAGGAAGACTTTTATTGTACAGCATAGAGTAAAACAAGCTTGTAACGATGCAATGCAAGAAGACTTTATAGCTATTGCTAATTTTCAACTGCAGCCCCTGGACAAGATCATTTTGCTTTGTCCCATTGGCAAATCTTTTTTTAAGGCAGTCAAAATGTGCTCCAATTGAGCATTTTTCTGACTTACTTCTCATCAGTCCTCTCTCTTATACGGTATATAGTGATAAAAGTCTATTGTCTTCTTTCTATGTGTAAAAATAGCCTGTTTTCTGACATGTTACAATTATTCCCCAGTGTGCGGAGACATCCATGGACAGTTCTTTGATTTGATGAAGCTGTTTGAAGTGGGAGGATCGCCAGCCACCACGCGCTACCTTTTCCTCGGGGACTACGTGGACAGAGGGTATTTCAGTATTGAAGTAAGTCTTAGTTTTGTGCCTATTTTTTTTTTTTTTTGAGCCTGATCTACTGTGACATGTGCCAAAGCCGTGCGTATAAATAGATTCTTTCTGTGAGCTTAGATGAAATCAGGCAGAAAACTATCGGAGAGGTAATTTGGCTTTTGTAATAACTGGAAATGCACACTTGCAAATGTAGCGCTAAGGCTGCGGCGACATTAGTTCTTATTTTAGTCACGTCTGCGCTGAATTGATTTGCCTTTTGTTGATCAAATATGTAGGAGGTGACATTCTAATTTAATTGCATTCATAATCTTAAAGCTGCGGTACCTAACTTTCAAACCACAAATGTTGAACTCAAAACAGTTTGGTTCTCTTACTAGTTTTTTGGCCTCTCTCTCAACTTTAAATCAGATTTTTCCAGACAGAAAAGTGAATAGCAGCCATCTCACTCCAAAGAGTCAAAGAATATGCAAAAATGACATGTTTTCTTTTAAGATAAAGACGGCATTGTGTGGTCTAACATTTTACTTTCACTTATTATGGGGGTGAAAAATATGGTACCCCAGCTTTAAAAAAAAAACACATACCTCAAATATTTGGCGCATTCGTGTCCAGTGGATTTTATGAAAAAATTGTAAATGTTTTGGTGAGGGGTCTGTCACCTGCTCGTCTCCATAGGGGCTTCACATGTTCGTTAGTTTTGTCGAGCAACTGAGGCAAAATGAGAAGTTAGATCAGTTTAGAGGCAAGCCCGCTCTAAGCTCCGGTTTAAGCCGATGACTAGCCTTTTATTTTTTTATTTAACCTTTATTTAACCAGGAAAGTCCCATTGAGATGAATAACCTCTTTTTCAAGGGATTCTCGGACAAGAGACAGTAAAACTTACACACAGTTACATACAATTATAAAAAGTTACAGACAATGTCATAAACATTACAACGTTATGTACAATAAGTCAGTTTACGTCACTTTAAGTCAACTATGACTGGAAAAAGAAAACCTATTCCTTAATTACCACTATTATTGTACATAATATTTCCTGCATTCATTTCTTTCTTTGCAAAAAAAAATCTTGATTCTATCCGTGCCAAATGTGTCCTGTGTGAGATCAATAAAGTCTATCTTATCTTGCAATTTATATACTTGGCATTTGTCTTCATTGTAACGTGCAGATACTTAATATAAATAATGCAAGTCAATTTATGTTGTTTGTCAAAATGTTGTGAACAAATCAGACCACCATATCTTACTAGAAAGCATATTTTATCTTGCATGTGCACTAGTATCAAAGAGCCCTGCATGTGAGTCACTTTTTTGAGGTTTTGGGTTGAGGCGGAGTGAGGGTAGTTCTGGAGGCAAAATGCAGGCACTGAACCAAACTATAGAGATATTTTATTACATACCAGAAGTTTTTTTGTGGATTGAAACTTGACATTTAACTAATAGAGCATGTAACCCAAGTGAGCACCCTAAATGATTAAGACTCTAACCAAAAACTCAATTATCACATTAGATTTAGAAATTGCAAATGTGATTCAATTGCAATTTATTGTGTAAGTAAGTAAGTAAGTAATCTTTATTTATATACCGCCTTTCACAGACCAGAGTCACAAAGCGGTTTACAATTGTTATTTTTGGGCATTTGTCCTCTCAGCTCTGTGTAGCTCTAGGGCTTTGTGAGCAAAGGACTAATGCGCACTTTTCTTCTGTATCAGTAAAATATTTATATATTTAGCTCTATGTTTAACACACAAATGATGATACTGTTGTATTGTGTTGTTTTGTGTTCCTAACCCCTGGTCTTCTCTTGTGTTGCAGTGTGTGCTGTACTTATGGGCCTTAAAGATCCTTTATCCAAAAACACTGTTTTTGCTGCGTGGGAATCATGAATGTAGACATTTAACAGAGTATTTCACATTTAAGCAAGAATGTAAGTACCTCTTCTTTCTCCTCTCTGCTGCTTTGATTTTCACAAGTCTGACATTTTGAATCAAGTTGTTCTGTAAAAGCCTTTCCCTCAGATCCATCAGCGCAAACTCAGCCAGAAGCCACTTTCTGGACTTCCTCATATTTACTCAGAACAAATAAAGAAACAGTTTGATTTACTTTTGAATGTACCCATTTTGTAATTTCAGTCATCATCCCCACACTCGAATGTCCAGGTAAAACTTGGAAAATTAGAATATTGTTCAAACGTCCATTTACTTCTTTAACACAGAATTGTGAAAACGCAAGAACTCTCAGAGCAGTCATTTTGACAGCTCTCATCCAAATGATGGAATGTTGCAGTTTAAGCATTTATTAAAGTTATAATGACTTAATTTTGATAGAACTAAAACCCTAAAACTGGTTTATATGAATGAAATATAGCAAAACAATATGCTAACTGCTGCAAATAAACCATGTGTTGATATAGTAACTTGCACTAGCACTCTAAGCTGAGATTGCTCTGAACCAGTCTAGAGGTATTGTTTTTGTTTTTTTAGAGTTTAGAGTTTTTCCTCGATTAGGCTGAGGGTCTAAGAACAGTGGTGAGGATCCAGGACACTCGACATTCAACAACATTTATGGACATTGGCTTTCTGTCCCTTACGGACCAACCAATGTGTTTGTTATTGTTACATTTCCTTTGTTCGAACTGTTTGATTCTCTGATCTGTGTTGACGCATTGACAGCTTTGTAAACTCCTCTAAGATAAACTACTGTTGTGATTTCTGACTTTTTAAAAAATCATTGAATTGAATTGAAAAAACAAGATGACATAGAAATAATAAACATATAGATACAGTAAAAGTCACTAAGTTATGAATACCAAAACCATACACAAGCTGAGTGTCACTTACAAAATGAAAAGTGGTCAAATTGACTGCTCTGGGAGTTCTAGTGTTAATTCAACTAGATACAGTATGTCTGTCTGTATATTTAGAGTGGACTAACATAGTGCTGATTTCACCGTAGTGTTTCAGCAGTCTAAGCATCCACATCCAGTCTTCCCTATCTATACACTCTTCCTCCAGCTCATCTGGGGGAATCCTGAGGCGCTCCCAGGCCAGCCGAGAGTCATCGTCCCTCCAACCCTCAACCCTCCCTGTCAAACCAATACTCCTTATTGTGACCAACCACGATCCAATCTGTCACAATACAGAATTTTGTTACAGCCTCCGATGATTATGAGCAAAACAACACAGAGAAACCTGAAAGTGCTCCAGCCACATTTGTTTGATCATTCAATTATTTATTTAAATTGTGGACAGGACAGTACATGACATTTTACAATTTAATTTCAAGTAATCATAGTTCCGTCACACAAATTACAAAGATTTATGCTGCCTGCCCCTTTTTTAATCATGAACCAAATTTTAAAACAATAAAAGATGGACTTCAGCACTCCTTCAAACAGTTTTGCATGAGAATTCAGTGTAAAATGGTTCACGTGGGATATTCCCCTCTTCCCGTCCGGACACAGTGGTCCAGTATGTACGGAGCTGCTGTTTGGTTTGGCTCTGAGGACTGACCGCGCCCTTCCCCCTTCTCTCCCAATGACAGGTAGAATTAAGTATTCGGAGCAAGTGTATGACGCATGTATGGACGCCTTCGACTGCCTTCCCCTGGCCGCGCTCATGAACCAGCAGTTCCTCTGTGTACACGGAGGCCTGTCTCCAGAAATCACAAATCTCGACGACATCAGGAAAGTATGTGAGCCCCTTTTCATTTCTATCCTTCTGTGAAACAAGCCGAAATCTGTGTTTAAAATACAGCATGCCAGCAGCCATTAATATCTAATGACTTATTACTTTTTGAAATGACTTAAGAATGTGTAGGGAGTAGACTGGAGAAGGCGATGTGGAAAAAACACAATATTTCACTGTTGAACTTAAAGCTGCGGTACCTAACTTTTATTTTTTCATAAATAAGACTTTGTGTGTCCCTAAACCTACAGAGGCTTGTGAAAGTAAAATATTGTGAACAAATCAGACCACAACATGTTTGAAAGCCAGATCCCGTCATAGCTCTGAAGCTAAGCAGGGCAGAGCCTGGTTTGCACCACGATGGGAGACCTCTGGGAACACCAGGTGCCACAGTGGGGCGGCTGCAGCTGTAAAGTGCCAAAGCTGTTGTTGTGTCCTTTGGCAAGACAATTCACCCACATTGCCTGGATTGAGTGTAGTTTGTGTGTGAATGGTTGGTGGTGTGAGGGGCCGATGGCTTATACTGGTTGCCTCGCCTCTGTCAGTGGGCCCCAGGGCAGCTGTGGCTATTGTAGTCGATTATCACCACTGTGTATGGAAAGAAAGAATAATGAGAAGTGTCTTTGAGTGTCCAAAAAAGTGCTATATACAACCAAAGCAGTATTATTTTATTATTGTCATTATCTTATGGTTGCTTGTAAGAAAGTGCCCTGGTTTGTCATTATTTGACGCTTTGGGCTGAGAGCTGATTGGCTGAGTGAGGTGGTCGTCTTTTATAATCCTTCTGTCTGGATAATCCGATCGAAAAATACAGATAGATGGATAGATAGATCCCTGTTGGAGAAATTCCAGTGTCTAGTAGCAGCAAAAATAAATGGTCAAAGATACATGGTCAATATCAATATCAACTTTACAGCAACACCTGTGGCCCAGTATGCTTCAGATGAGCAGCAAGAAAAATAGGTAAAACTAAAAGAAAAGTGCAAAAATTAAATGCACACAAATGCATAAAAATATTAAACAATATTTGGTTTTAAAAGTCAAGGCATGTTTATGTGTCTTCAGGCTCGATTTAAACATGTGAAAACTACACACTGTTTTTAGCGCAAGGAATTACTTACATGGATTGAATAATATTGTTAAATTTTGTTGTGGTTGGAAAGTTACATACCTCAACTTTAAGTCCAATATTAAAGTTGCTGATCAATTCGATGAAGAGATGAGGCTGCTCACAGTTTTTAGAAGATTAAAAAAAAAAAATACATTTCCTGTTGTTGAATATGTCAGGATGACGCCACAAGCAGGATACACCAGAAACATGTTTATGTTTTCCCCCACCAGAATACTTTCAATTATAAAAAAAAACAAACAATCTTCTCGTTACCCATGAACCCTCAGTGCTTCACCACAGCAGCATTTCAGCCAGACCCGGTGGAGATTTGCCCGCTATCTGTGGCCTGTTCTTTTGGATCTGATTAGAAGCATGGAGGGGTGGGATCCCGCTTTCAGACTGATTCAATAATTTCAATTGGATTTTGTGGTTTGCAATCAGAGGCCATGCATAATAGAATCTGCTCCATTGGAGTGTCTGTCATGCCGGCCGTCCTCTAATACACCGCCTTTTGTTTGAGATGCTGCTAAGTTGCCTGCGTGTGTGACCGTTTTACTCCAATGGAATGGCGTAATGTGTTTTTTAATACATTGGCAACAAACAGATATTATTGTCGACACCTCGCCTGGCCACGTTTTGTGATGTTCTCACTAAGTGGAATAGATAATGCAAAGTTTTGAAATGTTTTTCTGTGTCATTTTGTTAGAATAAAAAGGAGAAGCAGTAGGTGTATTTTAAAGTTTAGTGAGCAAAAAATAACCGTGATGAGATTTGGTTGCAGACATTGACAATGTTGTGGGTTATCTGTTTGGATTTAACCAAAACTGGGCCTGTCAATGTGTGCAGATGAATCTACCAGAAAAAGATATTCGGAATAATGTTAAATAAAACTAAAACTAAGAAATATGGTCAAAAAGCCTCCATAAAAAACATATACTGTATGTACAGGATAGGCCTTTACAGTGTGAGTTTATATACAGGTGAAAAATAGGTGATTTTCAGACCATGAAAAGGGGGAAATAGTTTAGGCACCCCTGCTCTAAACCATATTGTGAATTGAGAAATATTTTGAATATGAATCTGGATTTTTTTTTTTATTGTTATTCTGGTAATATTAGTTGTTAATAATAGAAGTTGGTGTTAAATACATTGTAGTTGGCAATGAATGTTGTGAGGAAGAGGTAGCAATGAATTACAGGTAGTAACCGTAATGAATGAATTATGTGAGTTGTGTGTATTTGGTCTCAGGCTCCTGTTCTCTGCTCCACAGTTAGACAGATTCAAAGAGCCTCCAGCGTACGGACCCATGTGTGACCTGCTGTGGTCCGACCCCCTGGAGGACTTTGGGAACGAGAAGAGCCAAGAGCATTTCACACACAACACAGTCCGAGGCTGCTCCTACTTCTACAGGTGAGAGTCCGCTTCAAGGCCATCTGGGAAACGTAAGAATTTAGTTTTGACAAAAGTGTGTGTTTACTTGTGCACATGCAGGGAGGTAACACTTAAGGAGGCATATTAAGCAAAATCAACTTGTTACATAATTGTACAATATTTTTCCAGCATCAAACCTGTTTTTGCTTTTAGATCCGCCCATGTTAATATTCAGAACTTCTGGCATAAACATGTGAATCCGCCCCTTCTGACTAAAAGCTCTTGTCTCAGTCCTGTACTAGTATGATGTCATTGTATCACTATGACATCACGCTCGGAGTAGTCTGCCTTTTTATAACAAAAGTTTTACCCATAAACTAGTTTTTACAATTTCCCTGGTGAAATGGCGTTCTTTATAATCCCATGCTTCTGATTGCAGCTAGAAATGGTTCAGAAAAAAACTATTTCAACTCCTCCCTCTGGTGGTAGCATTGGGAGTTGCATGCAGAAAGCATTTTTTTGTCGCAATATATTTTCAACTTAAGATATTGTTTCAAATTCTAAAACATGAAATGACAGAGTAAATAGTCTCGTTATAATTTAAACTATTTAAAAAAATAATGCATAATATTTTTTCTTTAATTAATTCATGAATCTTTAAGCCAACATTGTGGAAGGCGGCTGATGATTCTTTTGTATTTCCTCCCAAATGAGAAATATTATGTAGTTGTTGTTAAGCAAGATTGAAAACATTGATTGTAACAAGATTTCCCAATGGGACAAGCAAAATAATATTGTTTAAAATAAATAGAAGAACTATCTGCCTTGAAATGAAACAATAAGGCAACATTTTTTGAAAATAGACTTCATGGCTTAGTCCTATTGGCAAATCTGGTTTATGGACAGTCAGAAAGTACTCAGATAAAAACCACTTAATTCAAGCCAATACTATCTCATATTTTATCTTTTTATTTTCTATAAGATGGCGTGATGTGCTTTTGTTTGTTTACAAAATGCTACTGTTTGGACAAATTCTTTATGAACCAAGAAGTTGGGTTATAGCCCCAGCTTAAATTTGAAGATGCACTCTCATAACGCCCAGATCCCGTGTCTATATATGGACGATGTTTAGGCCCATTTAACACAAACACAACACGCAAACCTCAGGGCAATGATCTCGTGGGCCATGTCCGGAGCCCAGGGAGCCGATGCTTAGTCTGCAGCCCATAATAAAGACCAGAGAGCTGTGAAGGCATCCGCAGAGCAGCCCTGCCTGCCGGTAATGTGCCACTTCATTACGTTATGTGACAGTGGAGGCTGCGGGCGCCGAGCATTTCTTCTGCTCGCCGACTCACTCAGCTCAATTTGAGGGAATACGGGTTACATAAATCCTGGGACCAGTCTTCATACATTAAAGCACACAGTGTTCCGACTACAGCCTCTCTCCCACTCATGAGCACCACATAACTGAGGGAAAGACCGCGGAGTAAAGAAATATCGCATTGGCTTTTGGAGAACACTAAATCATCACTGTTTTCTCTTCATATTAAAGCTGCAGTACCTAGCTGCTGCTGTTGTTTCATAAATACAGTGTTGTTTGTCCTAGCAGAAAGAGTCTTAAGTAACGTTTTGTGAATAATTCAGTCCACAAGATGCTGTCCTATCTTATCATAGTAGAAACCGTGTGATCTTGTGCATACTGAGAGCTGAGTAAGGGCTATATTTTTCTGTGTGAAAAGAGAGGCCTAGTTATATGGATTTTATTTACAAAGTTGCTTTTTGTTTGTTTAAAGTTAGGTACCCCAGCTTTAAAAGTACCCTACGTATTATGCACAATCAGTGGTTTAATACAGTCTAACATTTTCCTGCCTGTGTCACCCATGGAGCTCCTAACTACTGGTTACTGATGCAGACCACCTGCTGGGGTCTAGCAAGAAACTCTTCAAACTCTGGGTTACATAGGACCATCATTTTATGTTTTTAATTAAAGGTACCGTATATAGGAGGATTTTCTACTTCTATGTGGATCGTCAAGACTATTGGTCCTCCCAGTTGTCAATCATTCTGGTGATACGTGCTCGTCAAATAAGACCAGAAAGTTGTGTTCAAAAAGTGGAGAGGGCGGTTCTTTCCAAAAATTTGGGAAAATCCTCCTGTATACCTTTTAAAGGAAACCAGCTAAACTTCACCTAACAAAAACCCCAACGATACCTCATTCTGCTCTCTGATTGGATGATCTGCTTGAATTCATAAACAGACATATGAAGTACTAAGTATGTCATGTCCCTTGTATATTTACTCGAGAATGACTCTGTACTTACACATATATAAGACATTAAAGGACACTGCTCCCTATGGACCAACGCCTCTTTTGTGTTTAATTATGTTGTTGGCAAAACGACTGCTGTTGTGATTTAGGGCTATACCAGAACTGAATTGATATGTAAAAAAAAAAATGCATACTGCTTTCATTTGCTGAACTCAAAATAAAGTACAAGTATCACATCATTTTATTTGCTGTAACACACATGTAAAAATGCAGTTGGATTCTAAGTTCTGTTCTTAAATGTGGCTCCAGTTGAACTATAGCTTTCATCCGCAGTAACATTCCTCCATGTACCTTGTGTGTCTAAATGCACAGCCACATACTTGCACCAGTTAACCTCCGTCTGGTTTGAAGTCCTCCGCTGCCTTCCCTCCTCTCCTGACCACTTCATCTGCCCAGGACACACTGGCTAATTGGCATCACACCGGCACGGATGTTTTATGACAATCTAAAGCAGGGTCGCAGCTCCGGAGCCCTCCCCTCCTTTGAAACTCTGCCTGTTGGTTTCTTGTATCTTTCAGAGACCAATTATTTCCTTCTGCCACTGTAGTCATGCTCCTCACGCTCAACTCGAGCGTAAAATGGGGCCTTTTGACTTCAAACAAGAATCAACAGAGCTAACTATTCGACGTGCAAAAAGTTGTGTGTACTTGCGCTCTTGTGTGTTTGCGGCTTCGAAATGCGTCGAGTGGTCTTGTGGTTGTGTCTGATAATGGATTTTATACAACAAAGTACAGTCATTTTTTAGTTTTATTTCCGAGATTCATTCACATCTGGAGTTGAACAGATGGTGAAATGTCCCCAATGTCAAAATTTAAAAAAAGTCAGTATTTAGCGAAGTGAAAATCTCCATATGGCTATCGTACATCTGCTGCAGGCCGTCAAGTGAAAATATTTACTACTTATTTTTCAGTGAAGGACAGAACACTGCACTAATTTATGATATACATAGTTAGAAATTCAAAAATAACCACCAACCACAATTTTAGCAACATTTCTACCCCTGTGACGGGGGGCAAAGCTAACCTGTCCGAACAAATGCCCTCACCAAAATATGTACATAAAAATACATAATGTGTTGCGCTGTTATAAGTAACGTAATGTAGATAATATATACATTTTGTCCCCTTCACTTTCAAAAAACAGAAACACAGCCTAGTAGTTTTACGAAACAATAAATATTTTGCACGTGTAGAAACTTAATTCAACATCCCACTCTGTGATCATCAAAAGTATGTTAACAGTTTGTGCTCAATGCTTTGGGTTACTATGGTGACGTCTGAAGTGGAGTGACCATGTGACCTGTAATTTAACATGAGGTTTAAACAGGATTAAAAATGTACACTAAAATAAGACTAGTTACCATAGTTACCAGGAAATATTTTCACCTGCCCCCCACCACAATGGTAAACTCTAGGCTCTTGGAATGATCCCACATGTACTTTTAACACAGAACCAAAATCGAGACCATGATGCATCTGGTTTACACGTTGAACCAAATTCTTATTCACTATTTTCAATTCACCACCATCGTTCCTGTTCATTTTCTATTTCTCGGCGCCGCTTGAATCCACTTCACTTGTAATTATATTTTCACTTTGGCGATTCCAACCATGGATCTGAGTTTGGTATTTTAGGGTTTGTGCGAAAGGATCATTTACTTCAAAGTTTGGCAGATTCTGTTGAAAATGTTCCAGTAAACACCAAAACAGGATAAAGGTTATGGAATGGAAAATTCTGAAACAATGATGTAGTTTTATTGGTGGATAGTTTGGCAGAGGGCGGAAAGTAGTATTACAGCTGTACGCAAGTAAATTAACAAATCATTTTAAAATATCTGGGGGAAAATGAATCCATCAGGCAAGGCAAGTTTTTTTGTATAGCACAGTTCATACATAAGGCAGTGCTTAACAAAAGAAGATAGAAACATTCATACAAGGCATTAAAGGAGAATGAAAATTACAATCATGCAGTTGTTTGCTCAGCCTGTCTCACGTTTTCAGAAAGACTGTTTTACATAGTAGCTCCATCATTTTGAAATGCTGCCTCTGTATATTTAGTCCTGACTCAGGGTACCAGCAGGAGGACAGTGGCTGTGCTACTCAGAATCTGTGTTGGTTCTTTACAATCACATGACTATGTTTTTTCAACCAGTAATATTAAAATTAATATTAAAATTTAGGAAAAAGCAAAACCAAATTTAACTCCTCCCGCCGTTGGTAGCATAGGGAGTTACAGATTTGTTGTTAATTCCTAATACTTGTTGATCCATATATTGTCACATGCTAAAACATGGAATGACAAAGTAAATAGTCCCATTATTATTTTTTATTATCAAAAGAAATGCATAATATTTCTTCTTTAAAATCACTCCAAAGATTGAATTATTAACATTGTCCCATTTCCTGAAAAATCTGACCTTACATTATTGAATTGCAGGAGAATGAGTAGATAGCACTCTCGCTTCTCAGCAAGAAGGTCCTGGGTTTAATCCCGGTCGGAACAGGGCCTTTCTGAGTGGAGTTTGCATGTTCTCCCCGTGTCTGTGTAGGTTTCCTCCGGGTGCTCCGGTTTCCCCTACCACTAAAAACATGCACAATAGGTTTGAATGTAAATGACAGAGTGAATGGATGGTGTTGATTGGGGGCTGATGCACCAGTGTGTTCGACGACTCGCTTCAGTCATCACCGTGTGTGGAATCATTGGAACAATATCTGACTCTGAACATTGTAAAGCGCTTTGGGTGACCTTGGTTTGTAAAGTGCGCTATATAAATAAACATTGCTTACTTACTTACTTACTTAAAATGCTTAAAGACCTTTAAGGGCGGCACGGTGGCTGAGTGGATAGCACTCTCGCTTCTCAGCAAGAAGGTCCTGGGTTCGAATCCCGGTTTGACCAGGGCCTTTCTGAGTGGAGTTTGCATGTTCTCCCCGTGTCTGCGTAGGTTTCCTCCGGGTGCTCCGGTTTCCCCTACCACTAAAAATATGTACAATAGGTCTGGCATGTGCCTCCTGTACTGGCACCCCCACTCCCAAAAATAACAATTGTAAACCGCTTTGAGACTCCGATGTCCAGTGAAAAGCTGGTATATAAATTACTTACTTTCTTACTTACCTTATGCTGGGTTTTTTTTTTTTTAAATTGTGGATATCAAAATTGCATGACAATGTCAATCTGAAATAGATTCCGGCAAAAAAAATCCTATATTTTATAAAAAGAACGTGTTTTTCATGAATTTAAGTTGTCTATGCTCTAACCTGTGTGTGACGTCATAGCGGGTAACGCCCATGCATTGAAAACCATGGATCTATGCCACAGGACTGCCTTTTCTCTCTTCTCTCCACTGATGCCCAACACAATACTGCCCTCTACAGGTGACAATTGCTCACTACACATAAATTGCCGTTTTGAGAGTGAAAAAGTGTCTGAGCTGGGATTTGCGGCTCATCGACACAACCACTGGACTATCTCAGTGCCAATGTAGAGTTGCAATCTAGTAGTAACTTCATACTCGCTGTACACGGCCTTGTCATCTTGAATATCCGCGAAAAAAGAACGAATACCAAATTGTAAACAACTTACAGCGTTGAAACGTACCCACTCTGGCGTCACCAAGGGCTGTGAAGTTTTTTCGTCTCTAAGGGCGTTGCTATGGGGTTATTTCGATTTGGGGGGATCAGACAAAAAAAACAACTGATTTTGAAACCTTTAGTAGTTCTCTTCTAATATAAAATGGTATTAAAACTGTATTTCTAAATAAATCAAACCCGGCATAAGGTCTTTAAGTTTTATTTCTATACATACAGATCAAGTTATAATCCCAAATATTTTACCACTAGCAATACAATGCCTTTTCATTTGTGTATAGCACTAAATATATACAGCAGCCGTCTCACAGGACTTCAAAGATAAGAGAATCAACCCGTTTGACACAGGAAATGCAAAAACAACAAATACTGTACATAGAAGCCATTGGTCCAAAGGGAGCGGGACGACCAATGTCCATAAATGTCTTTCTAGCTTTGGTATCTTCTGTCTGTAACCTTACCAAACTTTCACATCTCCTTTCTCTGATACAGCCTTGACTACAGCCTTTCAACCCACCATTAAAAAAGAAAAGAAAATGAAATCTTCAGCGTGTAAAGGATTTGTGGGATTGATTCAAAACTATATCACAGTGTTCTTAAAGTGCTCCTACTATTATTGTCATTTTACTCCTTTTTTATGACATATTTTCTGTTGGAGCTTTGCGTGTAAGCCCTTTTCTCTCTCCCGCTCTCTTTTCTGTGCGAAATCAATGCGCGGCCTGACTTATTTAGTTATTTCTATTGATCGGCCTTCATGATCTAACTGCAATTTCTTTTGATGCGCGGCTAAAGCTAATGCGTTTCTCTTTGTTCCACAGCTACCCCGCCGTCTGTGACTTTCTACAACACAATAACCTATTATCTATCATCCGGGCCCATGAAGCGCAGGATGCAGGGTGAGTACGGTGACATTTGGCATTTATTTTTTATTTTTTTATATATTTTCCTCTCTTCTATTACGCTGTCTGTCACACAGCCGGGTGATTCAGAGCAGAGGTATGAAACAGTTCGCTGTAGTTTGAACTTTGGGGAAAAGTCGTGTTAGACAGAGACAGAAAATCATGTTGGCAGTACAAATAAACGTTCACCACATTTGGAAAAGTGGAAAAAATGGCCTGATGAGTTTGTAGTCTCTTTGAGTGACACTCCCAAGACGTCTTTAAATGAAAACACATCTGGTTTCAAATGTGTCTCTCTGTGGATCTGTCTGGCAAAGACTGTAAAAACAAATGTACTTTTGTTGAGCAATGCATACCCATCCCTCTTATCTGTTTTTTAATTAGTTTTGTACCCAACTTGTTGCATACATTTTGTTCGTACCGACAGAAAGAGCAGTGTTTGAGTGACACATTTGATTTTGAGTTTGAATTCAGACCACAACATGTCTGTCTTTATCTTATGCTAGAACATATTTTACATGCTGCGCGCTGATTGGCCAAGTGAGGGCTGGTCAATGTCAGCTTTGTTTGTAAAGCACATTTGCAACAACACCAGCTGCCCAATATTGTAAAAAAAAATGCTTAGAGAAAATGTCATGAAATACATGTAAAATGCAAAACAGTAGTTAGTGTTAAAAGCCAAGGCATGCAAATGTGTCGCATAACTGAGCGTTGGTCCATCTGGTCTGATCTAAAGACAGGACAGAAGTAGCAGTCTTGAGTTGTTCGCAAAAGAGCCCCGTTTCCACCAGCGCTACTTGGCCCTACTCTTCTTTACTCGGCTTTACTCTACCCCGATTGGGAGCGTTTCCATCTGCCCTGTTTAACCGGTACGGTACCAGTTACATATTTTCTGGCAGGCTTAGCTGGTATTCAAGTGTTCTAACTGACAGTGATTGGCCAAGGAATCACCCTGGATGCTGGTTTGGTGTGGGTAGGTGGCTTTGAATACGGTACCAGACACTAAAGAGTAATGGACCAGGTACAGTAGAGTACAGTAGAGCCGAGCTGAGAAGAGTAGGGCTGGTGGAAGCGGGGCTAATATTACTTAAACTAGGAATTTATTGAACAAAACAAACGTTGGATACTCCAGCTATAATGTATTAGTTGCAGGACTAAATTGTTTTGTTCAGCGCTTTGAGTTGACTTGTGTATGATTTGTGCGATACAAATAAACTTGCCTTGCCTAAATTATTGTTGGTTATGTATACTCTAGGGCTATTGAAATATCTCATGTTAAAATACACTCACTTTACTAAAGCCTTGGGCCGCCATACTCTGAATTTTTTTAAGGTTTTAAATAGAATAGAATAACTGTATTGTTGATCTTTGCAAAGTGATGCCTTGAAATGTGTGTCTAATGTGTGTAAAAGTAAGACACATTTCCGTCAAGTTTTTAATTACAAAGTGGTCCTTGGTCTGAAAAATATGTTTTGGAATTCGCGATAAAAGTCTAGGTCTTTTACCTAGTTGAAAAGAGAAAAAAAAAAACATATTTTCAAAACATTTCTGTAGAGGTCAAGACTGCAAGGTTAATTTTTTTCCAGCAGCAGCAGTTGCTTTTTAGCAGCAACAGATTTGATTTTCTTTCTGCGACTATATAGAAAAAAAAAACTATTTCACTTTTCAAATGAATCATTCAGCTCCAGCAGCAGTCTTTTTTTTTTTTTATTTGTCTTGGGAAACTTTCCGAAACAGTAGGCACACAAATAAATCACGGCATATGTCACTTGTGTGCGATCATCCATTTTGGTGACACATAGCCTTTTGCGATGGGCCAGAACAAACAAGCAGGTGATTCATGGAGACTTCCTCAGGCCAGGCACCAAAACACCGGATTCCACCCTCCGGACGAGAGCTGTGTGATTTAATAAAGTTTGTTGGTAACACCGGTATGATTTTTGACGGACATCAAACTGAAATACAGCGATAGTGCATGTGTGCGTACGTGTGTATTTGTGAGAGTGCCTGTGTGTGTTTACCTTTGCTTCCCTACTGAAAGTGATTTATCAAGTTGTGCAAATCTATGATATGTAATAACAGCAGTATATCTCCATTTGCTCAAACTTTTCAAACTGTATTGCACTTTTTGGATTTTTGGATTCTGTTTATTGCCCTTAGTAAGACGTCTGAAATAAGAAAAACACATTGCAAACATGTTGAGGATATTTCATCGCTCAGGAAAAAAAAGGAAAATTATAAGTGAAGGATGAAATGAAAGTGTGTTTACAAAATTTGGTTGATTTAACGACCAATGTGTGATAAGTTATCTCCAGGAAGACGTTCTCCAGCTGCATCACTTGAGCTTTGTTTTGGTCACATGAATGAAAAAAAAAAACATATTCTCTGACATTTTTAGATTTAATCAACTAGTTCAGAAGTGTCAAGCTCATTTTGGTTTAATACGAAATATAAATAATACTTGTATATTTTTTATAGTTTATCTTTATCAACTGGCAATATTGTTTTTTACCTTTTTATTATTAAGGATTGTTTTCATTCATGATGCGTTTGAGATTTTGACTCAAAAGTGAGGCTACCACAAACTTGTAAATGTACACTGATAGGCCAATGACAAAATGTGTAGTTTAACTTTTTATAATTACGTTTTGGATACATTTAACTATATTTTAACCCGTTAATGTTCACTCCTTGAAGAAAGGATTGTATAAAAGACTGTTTAATGATAGACCTCTATAAATGGTTGAGACAAAATGTTGTGGAAAAACTGGCTCAAAACAAGTGCTAGAGAAGCCCCAATGAGGTAGATTTAAGTTCCAAGCTTCAAGTACTGTAGATAAAGTAATTCAAAATGTGCTCTTCCAAATAGTTGAGAAAACCGTTAAAGGGTGAAAATGGGGCTTCCCTGACCATCAATAATGCAAGTTTATCAAAGCAATTGAAAAAAATGTGACGGCCACGAAACGGCTCTGTTGTATGACCTGAACTCTTTGATTAGTACTTCATTACTCAATTATTAATGTAATGGATTTTTAACTCTGAGTTCTAAAAGTGTCTTGTGCTGTATGCGTGTGTTTTCCCAGATATCGCATGTATAGAAAGAGTCAGACCACGGGCTTCCCTTCGCTCATCACCATCTTCTCTGCACCCAACTACCTAGACGTCTACAACAACAAAGGTAAGCTACTGTCGAATCCTCCGCCGCCTCACGAAGTTCACATATCATGCTTGAGAAAGATTAACATTGATTTTCCTCGTGGATTATTGTCAGTCCTTGGTGCATCAGTGCAAGAAGCCACAACCAGGAGAAACTCTTCAGGCCGCACGCAGAGAGAGAGGGCAAGAGCAACCTTTTGTAGAGCTTAAGCAGAAAGTTCAATAAGTTTCCTCTTGAGATATTGAACTCCACTTTTTTTTTTTAAGTAGAGTAAAAAGTGAAAAAAGGCCTATAAAAGCAAAGCAAACAGATAAACGGATTAACTCTAGCTATAAAGTCCCCAATAGTACCACCCATGTCCACCTGAATGTGTGTTGCAGTGATATAAGAGAGTGTGTATTTGTGATGATGGGTTATAATTTAGTATAAAAGGTCTTTCCTTCCTGCTGCTGTCAGACTGTACAATGAGAACTGCTGTATATGTCATTCATCTGAAAATAGTGAATACCGTTATTACTTCATTTATTATTGCTCCAAAATTTGCCCACTGGGGACGAATAAATGTTCTCTAATCTTATCTTAAGGAGACAAAATGGATTTGGCTACAAAAAATATCATACCACAAAATATAGAGACACACAAATTCAAAAAGTAGGTTTTTTGTGCAGTTTAACATCCGAACAGTGTATTTTTTTATAAAGTGGAAAGATTACCAAGGCACAAGATGAGTTTCAACAATTTCTTTCTGTTTGCGTCATTATTTATGAACTGATGCTTAAAGCTGGAGGAACTAACTTTTCTGTTTCATAAATGTTTCCATACAGAAAGAGTCTTGTTTAAGAATACGTATAAAACATGAATATAAAACAGATTTTTAGAGATTTTAACCATGGTACGACATTGTACCGCAGCAAAAACAGCTGTTTTCAGATCCATCTACGCCAATATCAGAAACTTCGGGCACAAACATGTGCAGTGACTCTGCCCTTCTGTCTAAAAACTCCTGTCTCTGCCCTGTAATAGTATGATGTCATTGCGCCACTATGACATCATACTCAGAGCAGTTTTCTGCCTTTTTATAATAATACTATTGCTCATTATTTATTTTGCGGGTGGAAAGCATTTTTTTTACCCTTCATATTTGTGTCACTTTTCATTTTATACTAAAGACAATATTTCATTATATTTCTAAAACATAAAATGACAAAATAAATATCCCCATTGTCATTTTTTTACATTTAGAAGAAGAAGGTCCTTTATTCGTCCCACAATGGGGAAATTTCAGTTTGACACATACACATATACAGTGCCTTGCGAAAGTATTCGGCCCCCTTGAACCTTTCAACATTTCGCCACATTTCGGGCTTCAAACATAAAGATATAAAAAAATTATTTTTTGTCATGAATCAACAACAAGTGGGACACAATCGTGAAGTGGAACGAAATTTATTGGATAATTTAAACTTTTTTAACAAATAAAAAACTGAAAAGTGGGGCGTGCAATATTATTCGGCCCCTTTACTTTCAGTGCAGCAAACTCACTCCAGAAGTTCAGTGAGGATCTTTGAATGATCCAATGTTGTCCTAAATGACTGACGATGATAAATAGAATGCACCTGTGTGTAATCAAGTCTCCGTATAAATGCACCTGCTCCTTGATAGTCTCAGGGTTCTGTTTAAAGCGCAGAGAGAACCATGAAGACAAAGGAACACACTAGGCAGGTCCGAGATACTGTTGCGGAGAAGTTTAAAGCCGGATGTGGATACAAAAAGATTTCCCAAGCTTTAAGCACTGTGCAAGCAATTATATTGAAATGGAAGGAATATCAGACCACTGCAAATCTACCAAGACCCGGCCATCCCTCCAAACTTTCATCTCAAACAAGGAGAAGACTGATCAGAGATGCAGCCAAGAGGCCCATGATCACTCTGGATGAACTGCAGATAACTACAGCTGAGGTGGGAGAGTCTGTCCATAGGACAACAATCAGTCGTGCACTGCACAAATCTGGCCTTTATGGAAGAATGGCCATTTCTCAAAGATATCCAATAAAAGTTTCTTAAAGTTTGCCACAAGCCACTTGGGAGACACACCAAACATGTGGAAGAAGGTGCTCTGGTCAGATGAAACCAAAATCAAACTTTTTGGCCACAATGCAAAACGATATGTTTGGCGTAAAAGCAACACAGCTCATCACCCTGAACACACCCTCCCCACCTCAGCTGTAGTTATCTGCAGTTCATCCAGAGTGATCATGGGCCTCTTGACTGCATCTCTGATCAGTCTTCTCCTTGTTTAAGATGAAAGTTTGGAGGGACGGCCGGGTCTTGGTAGATTTGCAGTGGTCTGATACTCCTTCCATTTCAATATAATTGCTTGCACAGTGCTCCTTGAGATGTTTAAAGCTTGTGAAATCTTTTTGTATCCAAATCCGGCTTTAAACTTCTCCACAACAGTATCTCGGACCTGCCTGGTGTGTTCCTTTGTCTTCATGGTTCTCTCTGCGCTTTAAACAGAACCCTGAGACTATCAAAGAGCAGGTGCATTTATATGGAGACTTGATTACACACAGGTGGTTCAAGGGGGCCGAATACTTTCGCAAGGCACTGTACATAAACATCAAGGCAAGCAGCAAACATCACTTTCAGCGCTCCTCATAGGCAAAGTGGGTTAAGTGTCTTGCCCAAGGACACAACGACAGCAGACATCAGTGGGAGTCGGTGGTGAAGGTCTCGTGGTTGGTTTGAACCCACAACCTTTGGGCTCTAATGCCAATGCTCTACCAACTGAGCCACTGTCGCCCCATTTCTGGACGAAAATTGAGAGCAGATTGGCATGCATGTGAAAACTAGTGATACAGCTGTTTTGAGAGCAAGGATAAAACATAGTAGGGGTTTCAACCTTTTGGGTCCTCCAGCTTTAACCCTTTAATGATTTCCTCAACCATTTGGTGGATAACTTTTTGAGTCACTATATCTACTTGCAACTTGCTTGGAACTGAAATCTACCTGATTTTGGGGATCTCTATCACTTTCAATGTTCAGACAGCATCTCAACCGGGCCTAATGGTCTACGAATCTGAACATTAAAGGGTTAAATCACATGCATGCAGTGTGAGAGTGTGCCTAAATAGTGAAGTAGTATAAGAAGAGAAGTACCATCACTTTGCCCAGTGCAGCCTGCTCAGTGTTGCGGCCGTGATTCAGCAGGATTCAGCTTCAGTGTTTGAGGAGAAGGAGGCGGCGGCTCTGGGATGGACTCAGGAAATGGGACTGGGAAATGGCCCTGACGGATGGAGCTGTGGTGTGCTGTTTGTAATTGTCTCTTAATGTGAAATGTCCTGGTGGGAACACATTGTAACTCGTGCTTGTGTTGTTATGAAAGAGCAACAGTCTTTTCTTGTCCGTTTGCAATGTTCTTGAATTTGAAGCGTGTCGGTCATGGTTTCATAGTGCTACCTGATCTTTGGTACATTTTCAATACTCCTATGTATCCATACATCCATTCTTTTTCTTCCACTTCATCCGTTGCTGGGTCCCGGGGGCAGCAGTCTAAGCAGAGACACCCAGACCTTCCTATCCACACACATAGGGCGAGTGTGTGTGGATAGGGGCCTATATACGTTGAATATAGGCCCTAAGGAATTCATTTTCAAAGATACTGTATGTCTCCACCACCCATTGCCTGCAGAAAATTGTGTAACCCCATGTAAGAGTTTCTTTTGGCAGCGTGCTGTGGACAGTTCAATTAATTTCAATTTACTTTTGGATTTCCCTCTCAACTCAACAGAAGTCATCTTGCAGGACTTTACAAAGTTGCTAATTCCTCAACAACAGATCAAAGAAATCAAACAATTCAAACAGGAAATGAACAAATAAAACACAAGTAGAAGCCCTTGGATGATCAATGTCCAAAATGTCAAAATATGGCAGGATCCACTGTAATGAGACAAGCAGTCCTTTATGGATGCACAGATACAATCAGTTACCAATACAGGACATTGAATTGGATCGAGTATCGGTTTGATGATATCAGTCCAGTCGATATGTGAAGTAATGTTTTTCTTTTGCCCTATTACTGAAGCTTGCGGCAGTCTTCTAAAATCAAGACCCCACCCTCCCTGCTTCCCAGGGAAAAACAAAGATACAGAAAAATCCAAATTGGTGCTTAAACTTTCCTCACCCCTGTCTCCTCCTTTAAGCATCCTGCACAGGAGGCCGTACGTTTCCACTTTGAGGGACGAATAAAGGTTATCTTCTTTATAAGCCTTTAGCACAAAAAACCCTGATATAGACAGGTTCTAGACCGCAGGCTTTGAGGGACTTGACAAAACTTGCTCCTGATAAATTGAGAATTACAGTAGGCCTAAATGTCATGTACAGTATTATAGCTGTTTGGCCCAGAATGTCATATACAGGTCCTTCTCAAAAAAATTTAATATTGTGATAAAGTTCATTATTTTTTGTAATGTACTGATAAACATTATACTTTCATATATTTTAGATTAATTGCACACAACTCAAGTAGTTCAAGCCTTTTATTGTTTTAATATTGATAAAATATTGACTATATTGAGGCCACACCTCAGCAGGGCCACAGGCTGATGGCCTCCTTGCCACGCCGCATTGAAGCAGTCATTTCTCCAAAAGGATTCCCAACCAAGTATTGAGTGCATAACTGAACATAATTTTTTTGAAGGTTGACTTTTTTTGTAACAAAAACACTTTTCTTTTATTGGTTGGATGAAATATGCTAATTTTTTTAGGTAAGGATTTTTGTTTTTTTTTCCCAAAATCATCAATATTTAAACAATGAAAGGCTTGATCTAGTTCAGTTGTGTGCAATAAAAGTCTAATGTATATCAGTAAATTACAGAAAATAATGAACTATCACAATATGCAATTTTTTTAGAAGGACCTGTACAGTAGGTTTCAGGCAGTAACTCTGTTGTTACTCAGGATAGTTTAAAACATAATCGGATTGGTTACCAGAGACTTGAGGGAAGAAAAAAATTAAGTCC